CTCCTGCATGTCATATTACACATACAAGGAAACCACCTGCATGGAATGATGATTATGAAGTGTGTCTTAATACTGTGCGAATAGTACCTCCCTCCGACATCTCCTCTACTTCACCGGTACCCGCAGGTAATCCTTATTCCTTATCTAATTATGTGACATATAATTGTTTCTCTTCCTCATCGTTCATTTTTAGCGGCAATCAGTCAAGCCCGAGATGTTGTCCAAGATCCCAAGTGGCATGATGTCATGCAGGCTGAAGTCAATGCCTTGGAACGTGCCGGCACGTGGAAAGTGCAGTCCCTGGCACCTGGAAAACGGGCCATATATTGCAAGTGGGTATATAAAATAAAGTATAAAACTGAAGGTTCTATTGACAGGTACAAGGCACGGCTCGTTGTCTGTGGTAATCACCAAATTCATGGAATAGATTATCATGATACTTTTGCACCTGTGGCTAAAATGGTCACTGTACGCACTATCTTGGCGGTTGCAGCTTCCCGAGATTGGGTGATCCACTAGATGGACGTGGATAATGCATTTTTGCATGGTGATCTTGGTGAGGAAGTATACATGCATTTTCCTCCTGGCTACTCTTCTTCTTCTCCTGGTCAGATATGTCGGTTGTTGAAATCTCTTTATGGGCTTCGTCAAGCCCCCCGTTGTTGGTTCTCTAAACTCACGTCTGCTCTCAAAGCTTATGGGTTTCATCAATCCCAAGCCGATTGTTCATTGTTTACCTTTCGCTGACCAAGCAAAATATTATGTATCTTAATTTATGTGGATGATCTCCTTATTACTGGCAATGATCCGGAGTTAATTGTTGAATTTAAATCTTCTCTCCTCACATTTTCCGGTCAAAGATTTGGGGGTTATGAAGTATTTTCTTGGGCTCGAGGTTGCTAGAAATCCAACAGGTATATTTTTGTGTCAACGAAAATGTGTTATGGACATTCTTACCGAGACTGGGATGCTTGGTGCTCGGCCTGTTTCTTTTCCCATTGTACAAAATCATGGACTACAAACTGATGACGGGCCTCTTTATGGTAATCCCGATCAATATCGGAGATTAGTTGGGAAGATTATTTATCTCACTTTAACCCGACCCGATATTTGTTATGTCGTTCATGTGTTATCTCAGTTCATGCAAAGACCACGGCAGGCTCATTGGGACGCGGTGGTGCGTGTGCTACGATATCTCAAAGCTCATCCGGGACAGGGGATTCTTCTCCGACGTGATTCTCCTCTTACTTTATCTGGGTATTGTGACTCGGACTGGGCCAGCTGCCCCATCACGCGCCGATCCATTTCTGGGTATTATTTTCTTTTGGGTAATTCTCCTATTTCTTGGCGTACGAAGAAACAGATCACAGTCTCTCGCTCCTCTGCTGAAGCAGAATATCGGTCTATGGCGTCACTTGGTTGCGAACTTATTTGGCTCAAAAATTTATTATCCTCTCTAGCCGTGAGTCATTCTGACCTATTAGTCTCTTTTGTGACAACCAGTCCGCCATTCATATTGCCTCCAATCCAGTGTTCCATGAGCGCACCAAACACATCGAGATAGACTTTCATTTTATTCATCATCATGTACAGAATGGGACCATTGTTACTGCACATCGTTCCTCATCATAACAGCTTGCAGATACTTTCACAAAGGCCCTTGGACAAACACAGTTTCAATATTTATTATCCAAGATGGGTCTTCGGGATCCTCACTCTCCATCTTGAGGGGGGATGTTGAAGGTCATCATGCATGGAAGCCATGCATATTATTTACGTGTATTATTTGATGTACAATATTTTGTGTACAATATTTTTAGTGGTCAAAGCTTACCCACCTTTTTCCTATTCCTTTGGCTGTTTAGTTGGAGTCCGCCAATGACTCCTATTATAACTATTCCACTTGTACAGTTACGTAGAGATAGAGTTAACGTAGGTTTTGTTCTTAACTCTTCAGTTTCACGTAACTTGTAAAACATGTATATATGTACGCTTTGAATCAATGAGAAGCATGAGAAATTCCTCTCGATTACTTGATATTTAATCTAATTTATCTTTTTTCAAATTTTTTCATTTTCTTGATTCATTTTGTTTCTCTCTACTTTTTTCTTCCTCCCAATCATCATAATTTGGAACAACATAGCTACACACATATATTGTTTATTGTGATTTGGTCGTGCTTAATGGCTATGTTGAACAAGCCAGCTCAATCTCAAACTTTTCCACTTTGATAACTTGTAATCAGTTAATGTACTTTACTATTGTTGGCTAGCTTTAAAGGTTAAAACTCCAGAAGAACAGTTGGGGCGCATGCATACATATTTGAGTTTGATGAGATATTAACTGAACTTGCATCTCAAAAGTGTATGTGCCTATAAAGTGGTTGCAATAGCTACTTTGCAATATTCTGCCTTAATTTAAGTCATCATAAATTAGACTTAAATTTATAGTTATCTTGCGTCAAATTGTCAGTAACATCCTAAGTATTGTTTACCGCAACATGCTGAAGACAAGTTGTGTCACCATCACAATGGTAAAGGATCAAAAGCTTTAATTTTTAACAACAATTGAATTGTGAATGAGGGTGGTACATTGATTCGTGTCAATACAATTTGTGTATAAATGTTGTACAATGTTATTAACCCATTAACTCAAACATAAATTTATACCCGCGCATCACTTTTTCTCTAGTTAGGTCGATGCTTCATTTACTGAAAAAAAAGTTCAATGCTTCATTTGTCCGCCATTAAACTTCTCTTTAGGGAACATGGATTGATTTCGGGGTCATAAGATTTCTGGTTGATCAAGCTTAATTACATGAAATTCATTTAATTGAGCCTAACTAATCATTACTAAATTCTTAACGCTCTCACGGCGTAGAATACAATAATTTAGGGGACCAGACTGATCTCTCATGCGACAGGATTCTAAAATTATTGTCAAAACGAGTGAGCGTACGACCCCTTAATCGCTACTAATCTCTTAGCGAACGATTAAGTGTGTGTGAAGGTGTCCTAGAATAAATTAGTTCTCTCTTAATTTTTTGTACAAGCAATTGTAATTCTAGCCGCGGTTCTAGGTTACAAGAGATATCAATTAAAGTATTCAAACACAAATTAAATACATTCATGCAATTAATCCATCATTAATTTACATCATAATTAACCCCTTCATCAATCCCAAATCCCTAATTAAAACTACTCACAACTCATAATTGAAGAATCAATAGAATTGAGATGAAAAGAATTAATTGTCATTAATTAAAAAGTTGGAACTTACAAATAATCCAAGGGAATTGAAGAACAAAGTGGAAAAGTAGAAGAAATTTCATCTCTAGGCCTCTCTTTAAGCTCCCTCTCAAAATATGGGTTTATAGGTTGTTTAAATAGGAAAAAATGGATGAAATTTGAACTGAATTGGGAGATTTGGGGTCAGGCACGGCACGAGGCACGACCGTGCCTGCGGAGTAAAAAACGTGTCCCAGGGTCAAGCACGGCGTGCCTCCCGGGCAGGCACCGCGTGCTTGACTGGCAGTAGCTCCAGCGTTGTTTCCTGTCCGAATTTGATAATGCTTGGTTCATGAAAGTTGTAGATAATGAAGTCTTCTAACTTGCAAAATTGGATTTGAATCATCCAATCAAATGATATGAATAAAATGGTGGAAGGTCGCATGTGGAAGGTCGCATTCTGAAATCGCAACAGCTATCATCTCACTTCTTCGTCTGTTTTCACCTTTCTCCTCTCAGATTCTCGCATTGGTGTCTTCATATGATTTGTATCCCTTGAAGTTGGCTTTCATATGAAACTTGAATCGTGTTCTTTGTATGTTTCTACAAAAACATATTCTTGAATGATTGACAGAAGGTCATCCTGAAAGCCGTTTTCAAGCTCTATTCGTCTTTATTTGATCTCATAGCCACTCCTAGAGCTCTCTTGTCGTCAAAACTTCATCGTGAACCTCCCGGTGACCTCTAAAACTCTCGATTCATTCTCAAATGCATCTCGAATCATCCCGGTTGCTTCTCAAGCGCTGGTGCTGGGCTCAAATCCCTAATTTTGACTCCAAACAATACAAAACTCGAACCAACGTCCGGTAAACATAACTTGAGCTAAAATTGAGACTTATAACACCTTAAAGCTAGGAAATCCATCAAAAGCCGATCCCAACACACATCGAATGTGTGTTGAAATACGAACTTATCACATTTTAACACAAATTACTTGGGTTGGAACTTGAAAAAAAGGTCCAAATTTTTCTGTTGCAGAGGGTCCTCATATTCTCAGGACCGCCAGGACCGGATCTGCGAATCACATTCTAATTAGACACAATAATGGAATAGAAAATCATAATATAATTTCAAAGAGTTGTTGATTGAAGTGCCCGTTTGGTGACCCCCTTTTTCGGCTTATCAGACTTATCAGCTAGCTTTTTCACCAAACACGTAACTTTTGATTTGAAAGCTGAATTTTGTAACAAGCAAAAAAAGTAAGGTTTGAGTTACTTTTCTGGCTGTATTAGCTGAAGTTAATGTAGAAAATCATTTTAGCTATTTTTTGCTTACTCATGATAATGTTAAAAATAGACTCAAATTACTCGCACGGGTAGCTCAGTTGGTCGAGTGGTGGGAAAATTGGACCAAGTGACCAAAGTTTGAAATCTGAATCTGGTGGGAAAACGGCCGTGTGGAGGTTACAGAACATTAAATAAGGCTGGACCTCTGGTGCGCACATGTATAAGGTTTACCGCTGCTTTGCTGACTGAATCACCGTGATTAACCTCCCCATCAACCTATCGGATCGGGGTGGGAGTTCGTGGGGCGGGAGATTTCATCTTTTGAACCAAAAAAATATTCAAATTTAGGACCTCCTCCTTCAGGTCAGCAATACACGAGAGCACAAGCAACTTGACCGAATTACTCGATTGAATTGAAAAGGAGTCAACACGAATTACGAGCTACAACTTATTGAGGTGGCAAGCAGTTATTGGATAAGGAGCTGGCCGACCCAAATCCTCCGCAACAAAGAAAAAACAAGCAACAGTCTGAAACGAACCAAATATTCGTTGGGAAAATATACAAAAACACCGAAACCCACAAAAATCGACTGGTTTCGGACCGGATCAATGTTGTTTGCAAAACCAACAACAAAAATCAAACCATAATCTCCCAATAATTAAAGCACCCAACCAATCAGCCGTATAAAACCACCCGTTTTCCCTTCATCTCAGGCATCGCCGTCGCGGATGCCGGAGATGGAACAGAACCGCGGCTGGCCACCCACCTCAGACGACAACGCCCTGTTCGAGAAATACGAGGTCGGGAAGCTCCTGGGTTGCGGTGCCTTCGCGAAAGTCTACCATGCCCGGGACATCAGGAACGGGCAGAGCGTCGCGATCAAAGTGATCAACAAGAAGAAGATCGCCAGCACCGCCTTGATCGGAAACATCAAGCGCGAGATCTCCGTCATGCGCCGCCTCCACAACCCCCACATCGTCAAGCTCTTCGAGGTCCTCGCCACCAAGACCAAGATCTATTTCGTCATGGAGTTCGTCAAGGGCGGGGAGCTCTTCGCCAGGGTCGCCAAGGGCCGATTCAGCGAGGATCTCGGCCGGAAGTATTTCCGCCAGCTCATCTCCGCCGTCGGTTACTGCCACTCTCGCGGCATTTTCCACCGTGACCTCAAGCCGGAGAATCTCCTCCTCGACGAGAACGGCGACCTGAAGGTCTCCGATTTCGGCCTCAGCGCCGTCGCCGATCAAGTCCATCAGGACGGGTTGTTACACACGCTCTGCGGCACGCCGGCGTACGTGGCGCCGGAGATTCTGACCAAGAAAGGTTACGACGGCGCAAAGGCCGACGTCTGGTCGTGTGGGGTCGTTCTGTACGTGTTGACCGCCGGCTATTTACCGTTCAACGACCCGAATCTCATGGTAATGTACAAGAAGATTTACAAGGGCGAATTCCGGTACCCGAAATGGATGTCGACGGATCTGAAGCGGTTACTATCTCGCCTTCTAGACACCAATCCGGCAACGAGGATCACCATTGATGAAATCACCGAGGATCCCTGGTTCCGGAAAGGATCCAAAGGAAAATTGAGGTTTTACGACGAATTCTTGGACGTCAACAAGGACGAAGATCAGAGTCAAATCGATTCATCATGCTTAAACGCGTTCGATATAATTTCCTTCTCATCCGGGTTAAATCTCTCCGGGTTATTCAACGGCGCGTCGAGCTCGGCCACCCACTCAGAGAGGATTGTGGCGGAGTTGTCGCTGGAGGAAGTGATGGAGCGACTGGACGGATTCGCCCTGGCGGAGAAGATTCGGTTGAGGAAAAGGAGAGAATGTGTAATAGATTTGGAAGGGCAAAATGGGAAATTCACCGCTACCGTGGCGGTTCACCGGTTGACGGAAAGTTTAGTCGTGGTGGAGGGTAAATGGACAGCCGGAGATGCTGAAATGTTTAGAGAAGCGTGGAGGGAAAAGATTGTGCCGGTAATTGCCGGTCCGAGAGTAAATGAGGTTTCCGGTAGCGGCTAGACTTCGCCGGCACGGCCGAAGCTAGGAGTAAGATTGGTACAATATTTTCCTTGTGTTATTAAATCATTTTTTAAAAGTGTTACCTACAAATACACTAATAAACTCTAAACGAAACAGCTAATTATCACTAATCACAGGCTAATAGCTACTGAGTACCTATATAATAATAATAAAACTGTATATTTCATGTAGGTCCGGCCGGGTATGAAATGATTTTACCCGAGATGTATATTGTATAGTTGATTGATTGTGCTTTAATTTTGTTTTTAATTAATGATCTGAGTGTAGAGGTTGGCATTGATTTTGTTTTGCCTTATTGTGAGTAATGAAATGTGTGAGGTGTAAATTGTGATGAAAAAGAAACCATATTTGTTTATTGTTTGAATTTGAGAAAGCTTGCGTTTGATTTGTTGGACTAATTTGAGACTACGTTTTGTAATATTTGTAGGGTTGCCATATACTCATATAGCTAGGGCTGCTTTGTTCAATATTTTAGATTTTGATTGTTCTATTGATATTAGTATTTCTATTTAAAAGTTTGTATCTAATTCCACCCATTTTGTTGAGATTTTCTTAAATAGTGCATCCTTTTTTCTATACTAAGGAGTAAGGATCTTTAATATTACTAAAACTCACCACTTTTCCTAAAATATGACTATAGATGTTTTTTGATGTGTTGTATGACCAAATTATGTGGCACAAAAATAGGAGCAATCAATAAAGATGAAGTGCTACACGGTTGCCTCTAAAAAATAGGATGTCAATATTAATCATATGGATGACAACATGCATCATTATAAGAAAAAAACATAATTAGTCATACTCTAGGAAAACACATGAGTTTTAGTAATATTTATAACAATTCTCTCTTTTCTATGCTAAGGAGTATGTAGTATTACACAAACTTCTCCCATCTTATAAGTCATTAGATAAGGGATCAAATTTAAATTTCTTAATTTATAAGCGACAAACTTACCAATGGTATTTTGGAAACAGAACCATTTTTTTTCGAACACATCATTTTGAACATCAATATACATCATGTAATAATATGCAACGATATGAATGTTAACATGTAATACAAACAGCGTAAAAATGTATCTTATAAATAGTTGCAGTGTAAAAGTGCCGCATTTTTAACTAACTATGTAAACACCCTCTATTACATAAATCAAGAGGTTGTTTTAGTCTTTTAGACTTTTAGGACCTGTTTGCAGCATTTTGGCGTGAAACCCTATAAAAGTTTATTCATATATGGAGTATCAAATATATAATGATTTATTTTGTGGCTTTTATCCTTTTAGACACATATCAAATTTGTACTCAGTTTTTTTTGAAAGAAAGTTGTACTCTGTTTAGATTTCTCTATTTTATATTCTTAGTACCAAATAGTACGGCGGAGTATAACTTAATTTCCATTATACACCGTCCACGCACGTATCCCCTAACGATTCTAAAATTGGAAGCATGATTAATGGTTGATATTTTTTTGATGATTAATTTATGGTTGAAAATTAAAAATGCAGAATAGAGATAACTTGGTAAATGCTTTTTGATCTGGGAAATGAAAAACTGAAAAAAATAAACAAAAATCTGGAAAATGAAAATACCAAAACCGAAACAGAAAACTAAAGAAATAGGTGAATACGAAATGGGTAAACATTCGGATGGAGTTAGATTTTTTTAGAATAATTTATACGGAGTAATTGATAATTAGCTTCTTTTGGAATCGGTTCACTTTTGAGCTTTTGGCCTCGTTTGGATATTGGCGTTTCAGACGTAAAACAGCGTTTTTGACCATTTTAGCTTGTTTGACCATTGCAACCGTTGTTCTTTTTGTGTTTGGCAAATAGAGGCGGGAGGAAGCGATTGGGATAAAACCACAAAAAATGAACACGCTACTCACCGGAGCGTTTTGGTATTGGCGATTTGAAGCAATTACTGAATTCCACTGATGCCCTCTTATTTTGTTGTCGCTGCAACCCTTTGCCGTTTCAATCTTGTTTCGGTGCTCCTTTCTAATTTCTCCTTTGCAAGACGCACACCGGATTGACACTTGCAGATAAATCTCAAACACACGTATTACTCTTCTCCTCTAGATTAATCCATTGGATCTCAATTGATTTGAATGGGTATTGAAATTTGTAAATACGTATCTATATACTTCGTAATACTCTGCGGATATCTCAAGCTATTTATCCTTCTATTTTGATTTTTCTTAATAGCTATGAATTCATTAATTTTTATTATTATGTTCTTATTTAGTTAACTTTGAAGTACAACTTACATATATTATGTACGTATATATTAGTATAGTACTAAATTTAAATTAATAAAAAAACATATGCTAAAACTTATGTCCTTTTGGTCTTTTTTCCTATTAACCGCTCTAAACAAACAACTAATTTACCAAACATTTTTCTACAACCCGCTAAACAAACCCGTTGATCGAATCCGCTGTTTACTACCCGCTAATAAAATCCGTCATCCGTCATCCGCTAACCACTGAGTGCCAAACAGGCCCTTTGTCTTCTCTAGTTGTATTCCAAGTATTTAAATTTTAAGTATTTTTAACAAAAAACTGGTGCGCATAAAAAAGAAAAAATAGATGCAGAGATGAAAGGGAAGATCGGTGTGGCTCAATTACCCACTGTCAAATCTCTCTTTAGTGAATACTTTTGAGTTCAATTCCTACTTAGAAGAGATAAAAAGATGAAAGAGGGCTAGTTCTCCAAAAAAAATCATAGCTTTACGGATTAATTCGGCCACCGATGAGGGAACAGATGGTAATAGTGGTCATGGATTCGTGACATGTGAGGACCAACCTTACTTGAAAAGACATGTGGCGTAAGTCATGATGAGTCGTACTATAAACTCAATATTGATGAAACTGATTGTGATCAAATTTGAATATACCTATTGTTGGGATATTGACCCGGAAGCCCAATACCCGGATTAAAAAGGCCCAAGATATCAGGCCCAAACAACGAGTCCATTACCCTATGATGAGTAGGCCCAATGAAGAATCCATACCGAACGGGGTTCAGTCCGAGTAAAGGCCGGCCCAGAAAGCAGAAATAACGAATGGAGTTCGGGTCATATATCATACTTGGATCAATTTGACAGTATCTTCCGCATGGTACAGCATCCCGTTTGAGCAACGGGCAACCAGCAAGTGGCCAGGTGCAATTAATGCCAGATTGTGACATCAGCAAGTGGAAGCATGGGTGATCAAGTCGGTGGAACAACGGCCAATCAGCATAGAACAGCCTATGCTCTCCATTAGTATAAATAGAAGGTTTAATATCATTGTAAGGGTTAGCATTTTGATACTCAAGCTCTAGAATAGCATTATTACTCTTGTTTCTTATATTAAAAGCATCGTTCCCACCTACCGATCGGGAAGTTTCCTTGTAATCAGACAGGTTAATTAATACAAGTGGGCTTTTGGGTATTAGTTGATTCATCTTTTATATTTTGTTATACACTTTGATTCTGATCCATTCCTGATATATCCAAAGTTCATGTTGGGCTTTCGGATCTACGGAATTAACCTCAACATTGGCGCCGTCTCAGGGAAACTGTTCAAAAAGTTTCACATTCAATTATCCAAAACAACTATTTTGAAAATGGTCAGAATCAGTTCTTATCACACAAATGATGGTTCGCGCCGTCACGGAAGGAGTCACACTCCGAGAAATCAAACCCCTCAGGGATAATCCAGCCGAGGATCATATCCTCATTATGATGGGGACTTTGTAATTCCTGAAGCCCTAAGGAGGAATCCTCAGGCCATGCGAGATATGGCCCAGGTCATGCAGCACATGGCAAACGAGGAAGAAGGAGGATCCAATTTTACAGGGGAAACTCCCCACACAGAAACGACCACGGCGTCATCCCACTCACGGGCCCATCGGGATAATCGACGTGGCGCTCCAACAGCAGCGCATCATATTCCCAGTGACCGGACCCCGATCGGGTCACAAGCCAGGGGACCTACTCCTATTGGCCGTCATTTCCAGCATGACGAACGGAATTATACTAGGGCCACTCAGAGGCACTGGGATCGGGAATATGCAGATTTGAGGACTCCACCACCGCCCCCTTTGATGGCCCAGGAGGAAGAAATGGCCGAAATAAGGAGGCAGATGAATGAAATGAGAGATCAGATGAATAGGGCGCCCGTACAACCTGCTCCGATCCAGCTCGGGATCACTTCCCCTTTCACCAGGGAAATCATGTATGCGGATATCCAGGGAGGTGCCAAACCATCGGCCGGTCAGATTTATGATGGGGTGGGCGATCCCCATGTCCATTTAAGGAGTTATCAAGGAGGACTCATGCTACTAGGGGCGCCCGAGGCTGCCATCTGCCGATTGTTCTTCAGTACGCTCAGAGGACCCGCTCAAGAATGGTTCGGGACCCTGCAACCTGGGTCGATCAACAGTTTTGCTGAACTATCAACGTTGTTCTTGGCCCAATTTGCCTCCAGTGCCAACCCAAAGTGGCGTTTCAGCTACCTGACTAGCGTAAATCAGAACTCCAAGGAGACCCTCAATCAGTTCCTGAAAAGTTGGAGGGACGAAACTCTGACGGTCGGAAACATGACGGATGACACCGCCATCACCCTATTCACTAACGCTCTCCGAACGGGAGAATTATAAAAGGATTTGAAGAAGTATCCGGGTACGGCGTATGCTGAGGTGTTAGACAGAGCCCACAAGCATACTGCCCTGGAAGAAGAGATTATGATCAGGGACAAGGTCGCTGCGCCTTCTACCCCAATCAAGATTGCTGATCGGCTGGGTCCTACCCCAGCGGCCGCTCTCTCTCCTAAGCAAGGGTGATTTACTCCCCTGGTCCTGTCCGTGGCAACCATTTATCAGAATGAGAAGGACAACATTCCCCTTCCGACTGATTCTTCAAATTATATGGGAGCAGATGAGTCTGCTTTTTGTAAATATCATAACAGGAAAGGTCACGCCACCAACGCTTGTAGGGCACTACAAACGGCTATTGAGGACCTTATCCGGCGGGGTCATTTGGGCAAGTACCTAAGTAAAGACCCAAATGCGGTAGGCACTTTAAAACTGATCAGGAAACCCAACAGCTGGCGACGGGATGCCCAACGAGATGCCCAACCCCAGAATGACGTATATATTCCTCCCAGGGATGAACCAGAGGGCTCGGGAGGCCCCAGAAAGAAACCTCGAATGGAGGTCAAAGTTATATTTGGGGGCGGGGAAACAGGGGATTCGAACGCCGAACGGAAAAGGTTCGAGCGAAGTCTTTATGTAGGATCCACCTCCACTCCCCCAGAAGAAAGGAAGGACGGACCCAATCACGTTCGGGCCGGCTGATTTACCTAACTCACCAAGCCCGCACATGGATGAATTGGTGGTGAGCATGTGCATTGACAATGC